CCCGATTTTGCCAAGCGAGCGTTACCACTGGACTATCATTGCCACTCCATTCACATATGTTTTCCTCAAATTTTCAATAATCAGTATGGTCGAATTTCAAACGCTAACGAACGCTAGTAGGTATTATTAAATAAACTATACCAAAGATACGAGCTTTTGATTGAGAAAATAAAAAGGGGGGTTTCGCTCAGTTTGTAGTAACCCTACTCACTGTGCCAGCAGTCGCGGGATCGAGTCCCGCTGGGGACATTAATTCGTGTGATGAGCACGAACGTTTGTACTCCAATCATGGGTGTTTATATTTATAATATGTATGTATTTAAAGTTGTATATATGTAGTGTATCAACTATCTGGTATCCATAACACAGCCCTCGTGGCTTACCATGGAACTGTGTGTTAAATGTCACAACATATTTATTATATATTGGTTTATAAAACAAATGGATATGCGCGTGCGCAGACAAACGGTTATTAAATAAACGCAAATTACTTGCGAATTTAAAACTTCCAATGCCGAGTTTAATTGAAAAACGATAAATAATCAAAATTGATTATAATTAGAGAGACCTGTTAACATCGCTCACTTCACATGTTATCTTCTTTATTAAGTTGTTCAAATTAAAACATTTAATTGAATTTTGTCAAATATTCCACGATCGGAAAAATGTGTGTGAAATCGTGAAATTTAGCTTATATTTGCACATACGCGATTTTTAACCGACTTCCAATTCCAAAAAGGAGGTTGTTCTCAATTCGTAGGAATCTTTTTTTTATGTATGTTCACCGATTACTCGAAGACGCCTGAACCGATTTGAAATTTTTTTTTTCGTTTCAAAGGGTCTACTTCCCAGGTGGTCCCATATAAATTTTGTCGAAATCGGTCGAGCGATTTTTTAAAAAAATCAACTTTTTTTAAAATAAGTTGTTTAATCGTATATGTTGTTAATAAACTTTCTTCTTACAAACCTACCTTACCTGCTTATTACGTCTACACTAAAAATGTATAAATAAAAACTTTTTAACAAAAAATAAAAACCCATTTTCAGGCACTAAAGCCTAAAATATTTTAAGATATGAATATCTAATAGGTAAATATGTATTTTACGTATCGAAATATTATTAGATTTCCTATGCGTCGGCTTGCACCGACTTCGAAAATATCTGATTAGGTATCTATTCTAAATGAAAACCTCCGTTTAGTTATTTTTTACATTTTAGTGCCTGGAAGTCGGTTTTTATTTTTTGTTAAAAAGTTTTTGTTTCGCAAGTGTTATAGACAACGACACACCATAGGCTGGGCATTTTGAAAACTTGCTAGGGTCTCTCAACATTCAGGTTTCCTCACCGTAAGACAAGTGGTAATCATGTTGGAAACAATTCGCGCATGATAATATCAGAGGTGCTAGACCTGGGATTTCCAACCAAGTGCGTTACCCCTACAATCATCTATACATATAATAAAAATATAACTAAGCCGAATTTGTACATTAATTTTTTTTTGGAAAATCTTATTTAAATAGATATTATTATCGATACAGAGGCCGAATTTACAGTTTTTAGAATTTTTGTCTGTCTGTCTGTTACTGCATCACAAAAAACCACTGGACGGATTTTGATGATATTTGGTATGGTGATAGCTGGTCATCCGGGTTAACATATATACTTTTTACCGAGGGCAAATATCTAATTTCTGAGAAAAAATACAAAAACTGCAATGTAAGAGTATACTAATATACATAAAACCTAAGACTTTGGTTTTTGGTCATCTGAACGCGGGCGGGGCCGCGGGCAATGCTAGTCATCTATAAAACCTATATTAGACAGTGACCCAATGAGAAGCTGAGATTGGGTGGTACAAAAATATTTTTTTAATTCCTAATATCGTGTGGCATTTGCTTAAATTTTTAATGAGATTTATTAAAACGGAGCTTCCGTTGCCATTTGAACTTAATTTAACAGTCTTTATATTTTAAGAAAGTAATTTAATCGAATTGTGATTGGAATCTCATTTTTATAACTTATATTATATCGCATTTTCATAATGACATTCGCAAATTGTTAATTAGCCGATTCCAGACAAAAACAGGTAAAAATAATGTGTTTATATATAAGATAATTTTGTGTCTGTCTGTTTGTTTGTAGTTTAGGACAGCTAACAGATTTTGATGACGTGATTTTAATATTAGCATTGCTCGCGGCTCCGTCTGCGTTCAGATGACCAAAAACCAAATTCTTAGGTTTTACACATTAGTATACCTACTCTTACATATACCAATTTCATTTGAATGTGTATATATATCATCGTGGTTTTATTCTAACCAGCTTTTGTATTTATACTCAGAAATAAGATATTTTCCCGCAATAAAACGTATCCTATATGTTGAACCGGTTGCCCAGCTATGACCATACCAAATTTCATCAAAATCCCTCCAGTGGTTTTTCTGTGATGCGGTAACAGACAGACAGACAGACAGACAGACAGACAGACAGACAGACAGACAGACAGACAGACAGACAGACAGACAGACAGACAGACAGACAGACAGACAGACAGACAGACAGACAAAAAGTCTAAAAACTGTAGATTCGGCCTCTGTATCGATAATAATGTCTATTTCAATAAGATTTTCCAAAAAATATTTAATGTACAGATTCGACTTAGTTACAATTTTATTATATGTATAGGTTACATATTGCAATATAGCATGCATTTTTTAAATGTTAATAATTCATTGTTTATATCGTAACTAGCGACTCACCCTCGCTTAGCTCTGATTCGTCTCTAGCTTGCTTCCCAATACAAACTTTCATCCCCATTTTATAAAAAGTCCTATGTCCTTCCCAGGCTCTTAAACTATCTTCTTACCAAATTTCATCTATATCGGTTCAGTAGTTCCAGAGATTACCCCCTACAACCTGTTTGTAGTTTGTAGTGACCCTACTTTATGTGCCAGCACAAGACTCATAGCTTACCATGGAACTACAAAGATGGCGCTGTGTGTTAATGCCCCAACATATTTATTTATTATTATTATTTATTAGTATAGATCACAGAAAAACTTTTCTTAAATTACGTACCTCCTCCTTTTAAAGTCGGTGAAATATTAAAATGGAATATGAACCTTGATCATTTCTCATCTAGATACCAAAAATACTCGTTTTCCAAGAGCAAAGCCACAGGCATCAACCAGATATACGTACCACCAGTTATACCAAATGATCTTCCACTAATACAAAAGTAATTTATATTAGACCCCCTGCAGACATGCTCCGAATTACCGCATAAATTTTATTAAGCAGTAAACGTTCATTCCTCTTAATTGGGCTCCTTAAAAATGGCGATACTAACAAATGTATTTAAGAAAAATTTTAATGTTCGCATTCTTCTACATACATACATACATACATAGGTACATATATAATAAAAATCTGAGTCGAATCTGTACATTAAATGTTTTTTGGAAAATCTGATTGAAATGTCATTACTATCAATACAGAGGCCGAATCTATAGTTTTTAGAATTTTTGTCTGTCTGTGATCGCATCACGAGAAAACTACGGGACAGATTTTGATGAAATTTCGTATCGAATGATAGCTGGTTATTCGGCTCAACCTATAGGATACTCTTTACTGCGGGAAAATATATCATCTCTAAGAAAAAAATACTAGCCGTTAAATGTATCTAGGGCCGGCGACGAGCAGAGCGAGGCTGAGTCGCTCGCTTTTAGCCCCCGACGCAAAAAGAGGGATGTTATAAGTTTTTCGTCGATGTCTGTCTGTGTGTGTCTGTCTGTGGCATCGTAACTCTCAAACGGATGGACCAATTTCGATGCGGTTTTATTCATTTGAAAGCCAGTTTCCTTGTGGTGGTTCTTAGCTATGTTATAGAATAAATCCTTAAACAGCCTACATATTAAATGCGTTATTAAAGTTTTAGTAATAACAATACAGCAAGGGATCAAACGAACGCAATTATTTCGTAATTGCCTCGGTGCTACCTTAATAACGGAATGTCAATAGACGCTCAGAAGTTTTGATAAAGAAGTAACTCCTTTGGCCCGTAACTTCGAATCGGGATCTCAAAATTCACTAAAGCCTCGGATTAGTCTACAATCCAAAAGAGAGTACTTGGTATCAAACAACACTATATATTGTAAAAAAAATTAACGTCTCTCCTCTCACGTCTCACGGCTCTCCCTATAATGTGAGGGGATCAAGCCATATTCCACTACACCTCCGAATCGGCGTTCTACGCATGCCTTTCAAAAACTTACTCGATTCTCTCAGACATGCAGGTTAGTAGCAAAATATTTGTCTAGAACCTAGTTCTAGAGTCTAATCCCATAAGCTAACACCTACGTGATGATATTCTCCTGATCGATTCCGGCCACGGCGGCCAATCTCATTGAGACTAGCCAACTGCGCAGGAGATATTATAGTGCACAAGTGTAAGCGCAGACCTAAGTGCACTCTCTATTCCTGTCACTCTCATACTCTGGTGGGACGACCACTCGACACGACCAGTGAGAGTTAAGGCGCAGGACCGACAGCTTCACGTGCTCTCCGAGGCACGGGGGTGACACACCGCCAACTTCCCAACTCCGGGCTGTTACTAAGGCTTACTATACAGAAAGACTCAATAACTAAACTTGGCCCGACCCGGAACTCGAACCCAGGACCTCCAGGTGTGTAGTCGTACATGTTAGCCACTACACCACCGAGGTAGTTAACCACGTAAGTACCACCTACGTATGGGATCCCTAGCTTAAAAGTTCCCCCAAACTAACCCCTGAATTAAATTTCGTTTTACCATCGTCAGAGCCCGTATTTCTAGTACCTATATTTAGGTGGCATTTTAACATTTAAGTGGCCTAACTGTCGGTGAAACAGAAACTGTCCCCTAACAGCCCCCTAACCATGCTTTGGGGATCCATTAAACTTAGGTGAAATCGGCCATATGAAGCGTTAGCATATTAAAAATAAACATGGCACAACTTACCTTTTTCCAAAAGTTGGGCAAACATGCTCTGGACGTTGGAGTGGTGGTGTTTCCACCGCAAGCAATATTGTTGGGGTTCGTCCATTTTTAAATTTTCCTTTGGTCTAGATTTAGGACATTAAAAAGTTTGGTAATAAATTTTGGTCTAAACACTTTAGTAAGGTACGCGTAGTGGAATGTACTCCTTCGGTGGTAATCTTTACCTGTAACAATAAAAAAATCATTAAAATTTCTTGTTTCAAGTTAAGTTTGTTAAACTATTATTTAATTAGTGAAATTTACAGATTATAATTTAATTCCCTATACAAAATTTGATTCCCATTTTTACCCTCTTAAAGGATTATTTCGGGGTAAAAAGTATTCTGCCCTTCCCGGGGTCTCAAACTATCTTCTTACCAAATTTCATCTAAATCGGTTCAGTAGATCCAGAGATTACCCCCTACAACCTCACAAACTTTATCTCTTTATAATATTAGTATAGATGTATAATGACAATAATATATACGTATTGTATAGATTATTTCTTTACAACTTGACGCATTATTCTAGAGTATAGGTCCATCACTAACGCCATCTATTGAAAATAATTCGAAGTACTGATTCCCATACAAAATAAACAGTAGTGAACTTTTCGATTTTCCAACTAAACTTACGGGTTTTTCCAATTTTTTTTCAATTTAAACCACCCCTTTTTGGTTGGGAAATGCATTTACGCATACCACTAAGAATTCTTTTATTATAAAAATTCTCGCGGGAGAAATCGCTCAAAAGTCATAATTATTAAAATTGATAACGTATTGCAGGGTATTTAGGTGCCATTTTCCTGTATCTACCAAATATAAAAAAATTGTTTATAGACTATATTGTAATAGCTATAAATTTTGAGACGGCAAAAACCTCAGTCTCTCCCGATCATGTTAGCTGCAAAACATTTGACACGTCGGAAACAAAAAGTCAAATTAATTCAATTCAATCTTCTTGTGAATGGCTTCAAAACGTGCCAGTTGAAACTCAAATTAAAACTACGAATAAAGCCGAAAAAACAGTTTTATTTAAAAACTAGCAGAACCCGCGGCTTCGCTCGCGCTAGAACTATAAAATAAAACTCTAAAAAGGTACATTTCATACAAACTTTTATCCCCTAATTTACCTCTTCATGGGATGAATTTCGAAAAATGCTGACACGTATTTATTTAAGTGTATTGAAGAGCATTAATACCAAGTTTCAAGTAATTCTGATCATAAAATATATATTTTTTTGAGTTGTATTATACCGTATTTTCCCATGGGAAGGAGATCGTTTTCCGCGGTAAAAAGTAGCCTATGTCACTCTCCAGCCCTCCAACTATCTCCACACAAAAAATCACGCCAATCCATCACTACGTTTTAACGTGAAAGAAGGACAACAAACAAACATACTATTATAATATTAGTGTGGAAGTCAAATATTCTCGTAAATCTAAGAAAGTATAAAACAAGTATTTTCAATCTAGGCGTTTAAATACAAGCCTCAAACGAGAAGAACATCGAATTCGCACCCACCTGACCCGGATTTCTGCCACTGGTCTGAATTATCTTCGTAACTTAACATTTAATTGGCATACCGTGTGAAAGACAACTCCATATGTTCCGGTTACTATAATCTGACATATGTATAATAAAATAAAGTGTCAGTGGACGATAATAACTTCATGTCAAATTAAATATATAAAATTTTGCAGAATCGCATGCAAATTTTAGTAAACCTGCGATTTTAAGAAAAAATTGTTAAGTATAAATAAATAAATATATATTGGGATTTGGGACTTTAATACATAGCACCATCTAGTTCCATGGTAAGCTACGAGGGTTGTGTTATAGATACCAGATAGTTGATACACTACACATATATAACTTTAAATACATACACATTATAAATATAAACACCCATGACTGGAGTACAAATATTCGTGCTCACCACACAAATGAATGCCCCGAGCGAAACTCGAACCCGCGACCACTGGCACAGCAAGTAGGGTACTACACACTGAGCCAATCGTGTCGTCATAAAATAAATAAAAGAGAATAGATTAAACTTTCAATATGTAATTGTATGATCTATCTGTGGAAACTTGGTCGGTTTGGTTAATTTTCTGAATTTTGCGCTTTACTAGCGACTCACCCTCGCTCCGCTCGGATTCGTCTCTAGGAACATTTTAACGTTTAGTACAGATTTCTCAGAGATTATTATTTTCTCGCATTAAAAAGTATCCTATATGTTGACCTGCATACCCAGCTATCACCATACCGAATTTCATCAAAATCTGCCTATTGGTTTCCTCGTGGTAAATTCCCAGAGAGACAAACAAAAATTCTAAAATTTACATATACAGTCGGCCTCTGTATGCAAAAAGATTTTCCAAAAAAATTTTAATGTACAGATTCGACTCAGAATTTTATTATACTTATTTTATTTAGTTCGTTTTATCAATGCAGAAGTTTCATGATGTTGTTAATGTCATATTTAACGCAATGGAATTATAATATAGATCAAAACTAATAAATCAGTGATTTCTTTTTTGAAATCTATACATATAATAAAATTGTAACTAAGCCGAATCTGTACATTAAATATTTTTTGGAAAATCTTATTGAAATAAACATTATTATCGATACAGAGGCCGAATCTATAGTTTTTAGAATTTTTGTCTGTCTGTCTGTTACCACATCACGGAAAAACCAGTGGAGGGATTTTGACGAAATTTGGTATGATTGTAGCTGGTCATTCGGGCCAACATATAGAATCCTTTTTACTGCGGGAAAATATCTCATTTTAGAGAAAAAATACAAAAACTGCAATGTAAGAGTATGCTTAATATGTAAACCTAAGAATTTGGTTTTTGGTCATCTAAACGCGAGCGGAGCCGCGGGCAATGCTAGTAATTTATAAAAAAATCACATAACACTCCTCCTTTGGACTTTGCCGCAGTCGGGTAACAAATAAAAAAGATATACATATATGTATGTATGCGTCAATAGATCTTTATATATATAATTCTTCTGTGAGTGTGTATGTCACTGAACTTCTCTCAAACGACTGGACCGATTTTGATGAAATTTTTTGTGTGTGTTCAAGAGGATCTGAGAATGGTTTAGATTCACAATTTGAATAATAATTTTCATCAAAATGTTCCAGAATGTTTTAGCTTATTAAAAAAAGTTTGAAATTTTCAAATTAAAGACGTGTAGACAGGACAACGTCTGTCGGGTCAGCTAGTATTTTTATAGTTCTTAATAGCCAGTAATACTTTGTAAAGGTTTTTGGAATATATTTAAAGCAATTTGTTACATATTTTTAATAACTGTTTTTTTTTTAATTTTTAATACAAATTTTTTTTTTTTTTTATTCTTAATCCATCCTTAAAAAATAATATTTTTACACTAGCCACTTACTCTGACTTTTTTCGGGTTTATACCTAATTTATACCATTCATATTTATAATATTCTATATAGCAAGCACTACATTTTGACACATTTTGTTTACTATGTGAAGGAGTACCATAAATACATATACACATACAAACTCTCGCATTTATAATTGTTAAGAGAAGATATTAAAGTATTCTTAGAATACAACCTTATTTGTTTAAAATCGGTTAAATAAAAAAAAAATCTTAAGTCTCCGGTTAAACTCCGGTTAAAAAGACAATAAGTACAATTAAATATTATTGAACGTTTTTTAACTTGACACTTAGCAACTTGGGTGTTCCATCGACTTGGATCTATCAATCACATGTGACAGTGGGCCATTTACTTTAAGAAATATTCTTTTAAATCTCTATACCATCTGTATTTTGCGGCTTTCCCTGAATCGACGGCTTTATATAAATAATTTGAACAATAATTGTCCAGTGGTTTAAATTCGACCAGAATCACTATATATACTATACTAATATTATAAAGAGGCAGAGTTTGTTTGTTTGAACGCGTTAATCTCAGAAAGTATTAATCGGATTTGATTTTGCATTAGATAGCCCGTTTATTGAGGAAGGCTATAGGCTATATATCATATAATAGGTATATATTCAACCTATTCCATACTAACAGTTAAAACGTACCTAGGGACGAACCCGAGCGGAGCAAGGGTGAGTCGCTAGTTCAAGAATAAAACGTAGAAACAACGTATTATTTAGTTAACACACGTTCAAAAAACGCGTCCAGACGAAAGATAACACTTATCATCTATTTTTAGTGTCAAACAAACAAATAGTGCTGTAATAAATAAAAAAAATCCTTAATGTCAGAATATCTAGCTATTAGCTTCGACACGTAACTATACTTGACTTTTTTTAAATTAAAACTATCTTTTCGAATTATTTCGCGGATTTATTTTGATTTTTGGTTCCCGACGTTTCGAATGCTTTACAGCAATCATGGTCACCGGATAGACTAAATAAAGGTTTAATTAAGCATCTGAAAAGTTATTATATAGTTTCAAAGCACAACGACTTCAAAAATATCGTTTTACTTTTTAGTGTTTTTTTTTGAAGTTGGTTTTTGTTTTAGTTTTTATAATTACTCCTTACACGTGGCATTAATCCTTACACGTAGGCATCTATCTATACTTACAAAAAAGTTTTTTTTGCGATTACTCAATTTGTGCAACATCATTAATTGATAAGTCAAGGAAAATAGTTCATAATGTATCTTACATAATGATTAACCTAGCTATATTTTTAGAAATTTTATACTGTAATTTAATCTATACATATACCTATTATAATAAAATTGTAACTAAGCCGAATCTCTACATTAAATATTTTTTTGGAAAATCATATTGAAATAAATATTATTATCGATGCAGAGGCCGAATCTACAGTTTTTAGAATTTTTGTCTGTCTGTCTGTGACCGCGTCACGAGAAAAGCACTGGACAGATTTTAATAAAACTTGGTAATATGATGATAGCTGGTTATACGGGTCAACATACCTATAGGGTACTTTTTACTGCGGAAAAAATCTCTGAGAAATCTATAATAACCGCCAAAACATATTTAGGTACGAGCGGAGCGAGGGTGAGTCGCTAATAGTTTATAGATTAAAAGT